GCCCAAGAAGCCTCCAAGATGGCCCCGCCCCATGGCAGCCCAAGAGCCCCCAAGAAGAGCCCAAGATGGCCCAAGATGGCCCCGAAGACGCCGAAGATGGCCTCCAAGACGGCCAAGATGGCCTCCAAGATGCCTCCAAGACGGCCAAGAAGGCCTCCAAGACAGCGAAGATGGCCCCAAGATGCACCCAAGACGGCCCCAGATGGCCTCAAGATGGCCTCAGACTGCCCCAAAGGCCCGCAAGAGGCCTCCAAGACTGTCCCAAGACGCCTCCAAGACAGCCAATATGGCCCAAGATGGCCTCCAACATGCGTCCAATATGGCCAAGACGGCACCAAGAGAGCCCAAGATCACTCCGATTTGGCCTCCATAACGGTCCAAACCAAAATGCTTCCAAGACCGCCAAGATGGCCCAATTGAGCCCCAGAGTGCCTCAAGAGGCTCCCAAGATGATTCTTCCTCCCTTCCCCTTTTCCTCACTCTCCTCCTCTTCCCCAAACTCCTCCACGTGTTCCCCGAAAGCTTTCCAAACCGATTCGGGGAACACTCGTTCCAAAAGATTGGCAAGGATCTGACCCAACCTTCGGGCAGCAGGCCCCAAGACGCCTCCAAAAGCTCACAAGAGCCCCCAAGGGGCCCCCAACACGCGCATTCCTCACTCTCCTCCTCTTCCCCAGGCCTTTCGGGTCCTCTTGGGGGCCGTTTTGAGACCTCTTGTGGGCCGTTTCGGGGTGGGGCGTTTTCGAGGCCTCTTGGGGGTCTCTTGGGGCCTCTTGGGGGCCTCTTGGGGGCCGCCTTGAGGCCTTCTGGGGGCTCTTGAGGCGGAAGACTCGGATTTTCGATCTGTGTTCCCCCTCTCGGGCCCTTCTTGGAGGTGTCGTCGAGCCCTCTTGAGCTGTCTTGGGCGCTTCTTGGGCCGTCTTGGAGCCCTCTTTGGCTGTGTTGAGGCCCTCCAGGGGGCCTCTTGGGCCGTCTTGGGGCGGTCCTGGGGGCCTCTTGGGCCGTCTTGGAGCGTCGGGAGCTCGAAAAGTCAAGGACCCCCAAAGTATTGAAAACTCATCCTTGGACAATCAATTATGTTGGCCTCTCGGGGCAGTCTTTGGAGGACTCTCGGGGCTTTCTTACGGCGTTCAGGAGGCCTCTTGGACCGTCAGGGGGCAATTTTGGGCGTCTTGGACCATCTTGGGGGTCTCTTAGGGCTCTCTTGGCCCGTCTTGGGGCCCTCTTGGGCCGGAACAAGTCACGCGGGGAGATGGGGGAAGTCCCCAACATGCCGCGACAACCCCGAGGAGATTTGGCAATTTGGGGTCGGGGTCACTTGAAGGCCCTTCAGGATTGAGGCTTGGGTTTTAGGCAAAGGACCTGAGGACACGCCCACTGCATGCCCAGAGGCACGGTGGCGTATCCGGGAGCCCAACTACTTCGCATGCAGTGATCTGTTATACGTCGACGAAACAATGGTGCTCAGCAGCGGTTCTGGGAAACTTCAAACACAACGCAATCATCGACGAAGGAGCGATCTGTCGATTTGATATGCTTTGGGATAATACCGCAGGCCTGCGTATACATACGGGTACTGTGCTTTCCCCCACCGGCGCCCTGAGTGGACTAAGCGGTGTACCTAGGAGGTTTATTGTACGTAAAATGCTCAGCAACACCTGAAGTCGCTAAGAGGATTGGTGAAGCCACGTCTGTTTTTAAAGCTCTGTGTAGTTGTAGGTCGCATGCGAATAGCTGCCGCGTTCGAACAATCCAATCCAGCTGTACAAAACTGTCTTGCCCAAGTTGCCGTGCAACTTGGAGCTGTTTGGATACAGACGTATTTTCGACGTATTTTCAGAATCCCGATTGCGTATGTGTCCAGAATTTTTAACAAAGCAGTTTTGGAACCTGTGCAGAAGCCGCCGCTGAGCGACATGCTCCGTGACCAGCAAATGAATTTGTACATGAAGATTTCGGTTCTTTCTGAAGATAGCCTCATCAAGATCCGGACCTAGGAGCCTGGCACAAAGTTGCCCAGGCTATTGGGGCACAAGAGGAAGAGAGGGATACCAAACAGCAATGGGCTTCTAGTGTCTACGCGCTTTTGTTAGAAGCCGGCTTTGCTGCTTGTTCTTGGTGTCCTCCTTCCTCTCCCCTTCTCTGCTTCCCGCCCCCCTCCCCGCAACCTGCCCGCGAATTTTTTTCTTTGCGGATGCGCCGTTTGGGGCGCCGGGCCTGACTGACTGACCGGCTCGCTGATCCTGTCCTGGTCCTGGCCTCGTCCTGCGCTCCCCTGGCCGCCACGCCGCCAGGATGGCATGAGTGGCCGCGCGGGCGAGCCGCTGGCGGGGCCTCGGCGAGCCCAGAGCTCCCCCGAGCGAGGCTCCCCCGATCGCGCCTGTCAGAGCCCCCCCCGCCGCCGCCGGCGGTCCGGCATTCCGAGGGGCCACCTCAGTGATTCGAGCAGCAGCTCACCCGCAGCACCTTCAGGAGCGAAAGGAGGACGCACACGTGCATGAGTCCACGCTGGCTTCGAGTTTTCGAATTTCGCTAATGTTCGTATCACGCGGCGGGTCTCGCGGATCCAGGGGCCGTGTTCATGTACATAGCAGGGCGCGTACGTCCTTTGTGGGCTATCTAGCACTGGGCCGCGACCTTGATGGCCCCCCTCGAAGACGTGTGCGCATCGACCGTGGGCCCACCATAGGGGTGGAGTTTCGCACCCTGCTTGGCGACCTCATCAGCCACTTCACTCCCGAATCTTTGCGGACAGCCTGCCAGCGCCGGCCAATTGACGCGTCCCAGGGAAGAGATGGGCGTTGATGGTGCCGTGCGCTCCCAGCCTTCGGGCCAGTCTGTGGGAGTCTGCCAATTAGTCATGATACCTGCCTTGCTGAGCCGCCTGTCCAGAGGAATCTGGACGTCAACTTCTGCAAATCATTGCCCCGAACGTTGAGCGTCGTGCGTTGCACGCCGCCAGAATTCAAACCACAGTTTTCGAACCCATTTCGTCAAGAACTTAAACGATGACAGATCCACCTAAAGAGTCGCAGTCCGAGCGTCCTCTCCGAAGACAGCGCGGTGCTGTTTCGGCAGCAGATTTGGAACCCCCTCTCGTGTAGCTCTTGGGTCAATATTGTCCCCGCTGGAGCTCACGACGGCATCAGGGGGGAGATCAGGGCGAATCGAAAAAGAGTCGTGGTAAGGCTGGTTGGCTCCAACGACCGCGCGAGCCGTTGGGTTCTCTCTTCCCGATCGTCCCCGAAGTCTTGGCAGTGCCCTCCAGGATGCCCCAGGAGGGCGTCCAGGCGATTCCAAGAGAGCACAAGAGGTCCGGGCGGACCCAGGACGCTCCAGGATGACCCCAAGACGGTCCCCAGGGAGCCTCTAGAGGACCCATAGGCCGCCACAATCTGTCCAGAAAACATGAGATTTATTCAAGAGGCTTAGGCCATTCCGCCGACCCCCAGAAGAGGCGTAGAGTCCATGGTTGAGGCGTCGTCGACCTCTTGGGCACTATGTCGGGATTCTTGTGGGCGTCATGGGAGCTGTTCGAGGGCCTGGCGGGGCCTCTTGGAGGCAGTTTTGAAGCGTGTTGGGGGCTGCCAGAGGGCCTCTTTGGCGCCTCTTAGGGCTTGTGGGGGCTTCTTGGGGCCTTTGGGGGGCTCCTTGGGACGGAGAGATCAGACTTTTTTTGTTGTTGTTCTTTGCTTCTCTCGGGGCCCTGTTGGGGCGATCTTTGGCCGCTCTTTGGCCTGTCTTGGAACTCTCTTGGGCCGTCCTGGGGCCCTCGTACGGGCCTCTTGGGCAGTTTTGGGGCGGTCTACGGGGCCTCTTGAGCCGTCTTGGAGCGTCGGACGCTCGAGAAGACGATACTCCCAGAAACAATGACAGACCTAAGGAAAACCATTGATTTTTGCCTCTCGGGGCCCTCTTGGGAAGGCTCCTATGGCGTCTCGAAGGCATCTTGGGGCGTCTTAGAGCCATCGTGGGCGTCTTGGGCCAATCGTTTCGCGATTCGGGACCCTTTTGGAACGTTCTTGCGGCCACGGAGGGCAGATTTGGAAGCTCTGGAGTCTCCTGGGGTGCGCTGGGGAGCCTGGATCCCCCCCCCCCCCCAAAGCGGGATTTTGGACCCTGGGGGAGGGGGAACGCCGGAGGGGGACGGCCAGTCATCTCACACGCCTTCTCGCCCCCGGCAAGCGGGGGTCGGCGGATTCTTCGCGCTTCCCGTATCCCAACCAGCCCATTCAGAAACCGTGCCCATGAGAGTTGACGGGAAATGGGACGAAGAGACACATGTAGTGAAACAAAGCGGGCAACCAGGGTGAACAGAGAGAGATTTGTGAGCAAGGGAGTGGCCTTGGAGGGCCTCCCGCGTGGGGGCGAGGGAAGGAAGGGGAGGAGGGGAGTGGCCTTGGAGGGCCTCCCGCGTGGGGGCAAGGGAAGGAGGGGGAGGAAGAGGAGGGATGATGATGCTGATGATGATGATGATGCTGCTGCTGATGATGATGCTGATGATGATGATGAGGAGGAGGAGGAGGAGGAGGAGGAGGCTGAGGAGGAGGAGGAAGAATGTCGTTGCCCTCTCGAGGGCGAGTGAGTTGACCCCAGGTGGGTTTTGCTGTAACATATTATTGTACACTTCGTTTGCAGTACGACCACGAACAGGCCTTCGAGTTGGCCTGCGTGGCACAAACGCCTCGGAAGGCGCAAGCATAGTGCTCGTTTGCTTGTTGCTGCCATTGATTCCATCTCCATCCAGCAGGCACATCTCAATTGTCATATGACAAGAGACAAACCCATGAATTCTTGGACATGCCAGTGTGGAGGATGGAACTACGATCGCTATGACGAATGCAAATGTGGGTATGTCAAACCAGGACGAATGAGCAGGGATTCGCGACAACAAAAGGAGAGACCACTTTCCTAGGAACGACAGCGGAAAGCTTGGGAAGCCGAAAGAGGAAAGTACAACATATCCAAACGTAGATAATATTGTGAAGCGTGTTCTGCCCATGACTCCTGATGTGGCCTGGACATTTCAAATCGACAGCAGTCTCGACCCAATGCCAGAGGACGACAACAGGCTGATGATCTGGAGAAGCGACATGTGCAGAAGGATGTATCAGTTGGCCACGGTGATCAAAGCTAGAGCGAAACTTTGAAAAGCAGACGGCCAGGTCGAGAAAGAGATATCATGGATCAAGTACAAGCTCACGTCGCTCGGGGGCATAGAGAAGCAAGTTTCGTTTTCGAGACTTGCTTTGGTAAAAGCCACGGGGAATGTGTGGCACACAACAGCGAGTCAACGCAGTGCAAGGCACAACATGATCGTGGACGTTATAGACCTACCACCATATACTCGCCAGTGGGAGGCAGGAGACGCGGATATGCACGCTGCAGGACCAAAACCTAGGCAAGCCTTTTGCTGGTGCGTCGCGACAGCCACCGCCAATGCCAGGTGAAACAATGACAGGATCAGAGGAGGTTGAGGAGGTTGAGGAGGAGGAGGAGGAAGAAAAGGAGGAGGAGCAGGAGGGGGAGGAGGACCAGTCTAAACCCAAGACTCATCAACGATGTTGAAGTACACCTTCCTTCCAAGATCCCTCTTCGTAGGCCCCTACAAAGGGGTCATTTCCATTGAGGGAAGTGTCCCGTCGGGGGACAACCGTGTGGACATTTTGAAGCGTTCTAAAGGCATTATCAGGAGGTCAACGCCACGAGTTAACCTGACTGTTACGTCTTGGCGATCCTGAACCGTGCCAGAACGCCAGTCCTGGGACTTCAACACCGCAGATCAAAGTAACTGGCGCGCCCTGACCTCCCTGAATCGTTTCAAACACCGTTTCCCAATGACATTCTTGCAACTTTTTGCAGCGACTGTGCGCGGCGCTAAGGCGAGAGCCACATTTTGACAACGAGCCGCTCTCAATCCGTGAGTTTCTTGCACACATCCACAACGAAAGTGCGCGGCGCTCAGCCCAGAGCCGAATTTAGAAAACGAGCCGCGCTCAATCCGTGAAGCTCTTGACATTCTTGACAGCGAGTGTGCGCGTCGCTCAGGCGATAACCACATTTTGAAAACGACCCGCCGCCAAACCGCACAACTCTTGCAAACATTCACAGCGAATATGTGCGGCGCTAATACGAGAGCCACATTTTGGAAACGACTTGACCTAAATCCGTGAAGCTCTTGCACACTTTCATATAGAGTGTGCGCGGCGCTAAGGCCAGAACGCATATCCTTAAATCGGACCAGACCGCCATTCTTGGGACGTCAACACCTCGAATCAGCGTAACTGTTGCGCCCTGATAATTCAGACTTGTTCCAAAGCGCTGTCTTTGGCACGTTGGTCATGAGAACCATTGTCATGTTTGCAAATGTTCAAAATGAATGTGCGCGGCGCTCAGGCGAGAGCCACGTTTTGAAAACCGCCCCGCCGTCAATCCGTGAACTTCTAGCAGATTTTAAAACGAATGTGTGCGGCGCGCAGGCGCGAACCACTTTTCGAAAACATCCCGCCCTCCATCTGTGAAGTTTTTCTTTGTGTTCAGCTGATTTTTTAATATATATATACACATATATATGTTTGTGTACATGTATACATATATGTATATATATATATATATATATATATGTATCGATTCCCTTTTCGGCGAAACACCTGGCCCGCCTTTTCGACTGGCCTCGGGGTGCGACAGGGAGGAGTTCTGTATAAGGAAAAGGAATGGAAAAAAGGAGGAGGAGAAGGAGGTGTTGGAGGCGGAGGAGGAGGAGGAGGAGGAGGAGGAGGAGGAGGAGGAGGAGGAGGAGGAGGAGGAGGAGGAGGGAGGAGGAGGAGGAGGACCAGTGCAAACCCAATAATCATCAACGATGTTGAAATACACCCTCCGTCCAAGATCCCTGTTCATAGGCCCCTACAAGGGAGCATTTCCACTGAGGGAAGTGCCCCGTTCGGGGACAACCGTGTGAACATTTTGAAGCGTTCGAAAACACCTTTTCCCAGGGCTTCAGCACCATGAGTTAACCTGACTGTCACATTTTGGCAGTCCTTAGGCCAGAACACCATGTCTGGGACTTCAACACCAGAATCAACGTGACTGTTGCGCCCTGATGATCTTGAATCGTTCCAAAATGCCGTTTCTGGCACGTCGGCCATGATGACCATGGATTGTTTGACAAATGTTTGGGCCGAATGTGCGCGGCGCTAAGACCAGAGCCACATTCTGAGAACCATCCGCCTTCAATCCGTGAACCTTTTGCGAATTTCTACATCGAAGGTTCGCGGCGCTCAGGCGAGAACCACATTTTGAAAGCGAGCCGCCCTGCATCCAATCTGAACACATCATGCGTTTTGTTAGAACAATTGTGCGCGGCGCTCAGGCGAGAACCACATTTTGAAAATGACCCGCCCTCAAGCCGCGAAGCTGTTGTGGTTTTTAAGCATCAGGGTCAAGAGGGGTAAGAAAATCTCAGGCGAAACGCCTGGCCCACCCTTTCGACCAGTTTCGGGGTGCGACAGGGAGGCGTTATATCTATATATATATATAAGGAGAAGGAATGGAGGAGGAGGAGGAGGAGGAGGAGGAGGAGAAGGAGGAGGAGGAGGAGCAGAAGGAGGAGGAGGAGGAGGAGGGGCAGGAGGAGGAGAAGGAGGCGGGCCGCTCCTCTGTCTCCGCAGCGGGCGAGCGGCAGCGCGCCTCTGCCGCACCTCGCAGGTGGGCCTGGAAAACGGGGCCCTGCACCGGTTCAACCTGCAGTCGGGGCTCCACCGTGGCAGCATCCCCAGGCCCAGGGAGGGAAGGGGCGGGGGCCCATTGCCGGCAGACGACGAGGACGGGGACGAGGGGGACAAGGACGGCGGCGGTGGACGGCGAACAGCCCAGTGAAGGTTGACCTCGAGCCCAGCGCCGACCGCACGCCGAGAGAAGAGGGCAGACGCAGCAGCGTGTTTGGCCTGCCTTCTGCGGGCGAGCGACTAGGCTGAGCAGGAGTTGCATTGTAGAACAGAGGATCGCCACCATCTGGAGGGGGGGCAGAGAGGGTGACAGGGGGCATAGGGGCGTAAGCGGGCGTCATGATCGACGTTTGTACGCAAGCTCGTGGGTAGACTCAGTGTGCCCGCTTAGTCAGGTTGCCGTCTAGTCTTGATAGGCTTCGAGCCGTGGTCCAAGTCCAAGTTCAAGTGGTTTACGCCTTTCTGGGCGCTTCCGCGGTGCATCCGGCACGCCTGCTTCCCGCGGATGAGCAAGTCCTGCACTCCCCAGCAGGTGGCGGCGGTGGTGGTGGCGAGAGGCACTCTCCCCGTGACGGAATGTGCGGTTGAACAAGCTGGTACGCAATCTGTTCTGTTTCTGCGTGCTATCTCAGAAGGGGCAAAATGTGATGATAATACGTTCCATGATTTTGTAGGATTTGCAAGGTCTCCTAATGTTCCAGAATTCCTGGAACGTATTCCGAGCCTGTCGTATCATGACGGCACTGTCGTTTTACTGTCTTCTTAGCAATAAGAAAAAACATGCGCATGACCTTTTGGAGGTCTGCGCGCACCTCTCGGGTCGGAGCCGAGCTTTTCCTCCCTGGCGCCCCTTCGTGCGCCAGGGGAGGGGTCCAGCGAAGACGCCAGAACTCCGGGCGGAGGTGGGGCCCCCGCGGGGGGGGCGCCTGGGATGATGCCAGACCGCAGCGCGGCGCCCGACGGGCGTTTCAAGAACGATATTCGGGCGGCGAATCGGGGTTGCGACGAGATTCGGCGCCCGCCAGCGAAGCTGCCGGGGCACCGGGCGGCGGCGCGGCAAGTGCTATGGTGGAGGTGTTGGTGTCGAAGGGTTCGGGCGTGGTTGGCCAGGCGGGACTTCGCCTCGGCCTTCGAGCTTCTCTGGGTGGAGTCGTCGGGGCTCTGTTGTGTCACGGCGGTGCCCCTGCTGGCATAGTGGGTCACCACCCACCAAACCACCCCAACCCAACCCGAAAGCTCAGATTTACCCTCGATTTCCAGTGTGGGGGGGTCGGGACACATCGAAAAAACGCGTGTGGAATCCTTACCCCCCCCAACCCGAAATTCGGGTCTTCGGGTTGGGTTGGGGTGGTCTGGTAGGTAGTCAGTGGGGGTGTCGACGAGAGCGTGGCGGTAGTCTACCTCGCCGTGGCCTTCGGGTGGGCGGGGGCGCCCGGGGAGCGGGCGGCGCGGGGTCGGGGTGTGCGAGATGCACGCAAGGCCCCGCGAGGAGCTCCACGACGTGGTGCCTTATGTTGGCGAGGTCCTGGTTGACGACGGAGCCCAGGTGGAGCCCGCGCTCGGTGCGAGGCCGTGGTTGCCGGCCTGGGTGTTCGACTCCACGAACGAGCGGCGTCGATCAAATTGCGCGAGTTGGCCGAAGAAGTCGAGTTCCGTGCGGAGCAGCTGATCTGGGGCCCACCTTTCCAGCTTGAGGACGAGAGAGGAAGGTCAATGGACCGGTTGACGCTCCCAGGGGCGAAGGTCCAGAAGATGGGCGCCAGGATGCCACCGCGGGAGGTTGCGCCAGGCGCAGCAGTTGAGTGGGCAGGGGGCCCATTTCGCGGCGACCAACTCGGCGCTGGGCACGGAGATGGGGTCGGTCGACCCGTTGTTCAGCTAGAGGGGCCAGGCGAGTGGGCCGCGCCGAATGGCGCAGAGCAGGAACGAGAGGTCGCGCGGCAGCTTGGGCGCCCTCCGCGTCATGGCCGCGCGCCCCGAGGCTTGGGGCAGTGCGTTCTTCTCGTCGTTCGGGGGCCTGCGGGGGCCCGGGGAGATTTTGGCCCCCCGGGCGCCGTGGGGCGGATCGCGTGGCTTTGTGGGGGCGCGACGCCCGCCATCGCTGGCCAGATCGACTGGGGGGCGGGTGCGCAAGTTCCATGGGGCGACCACCTTCTTGCTGGGGGGCCAGGGGGCCAGGGGGCGAGTGCCAGGGGGCCAGCCCGCCAGGAGGTGGCCGACGTTGAGGACGAGTGGGCCATCGTCGCTCTGGCTGAGCTGTTCTGCGTCGCGGGCTGCGCAGCGGAGTGAGACACGGGATGTGGGGTGGGGGTTGTGGTGGGGTGGGGTGGGGCGGTGGTAGTGGTGGGCGGGGCGCCCAGGCATCAACGTGGGCGGCAACCAGGTGGCGCAGAGTCGTTTGGAGAAGACGGAAGCCCGACAATAGTTATATATCATCATCTCATCCGCCTCTTCAAGTACATGGGGGCCAAGTGGCGCTTTGCGATGCTGGTCGCGCCGTGCATGTCGACGTGCGGCAGCGGGATGGCGGACGTGCTGACTCGCGCGACGGAGGAGGGGGGGGCGCGAAGGGTTCCGCAAGAGGGTTCCGCAAGGTAGAGATGACGGAGATGTGGAGGAGCGTGCTGGCCCACGGGCATGGGCGCCGAGGCCGCGCCGTGGCGCTGGTGGACGCGGAGGGGCGGCGGATCGCCGTGCAGCTGATGGCCAGGAGGCTGGGCCCTGACGTCCCAGGGCATCTGGGTTGCCGGGGGTGTTTTCGTTGAGTTTTCGGGGCCTAAGAGACGGGGGTCAACGCGAACCCGGGTCAGCCAGGGCACCAGATCCCGCAGGATCCTGCGAAGACCCCCTCTGGCTGACCTGGGTTGGCGAGCCGCTCGTGGCCGCGAGGCGGCCGCGCATATTGGCTGACCCGGGTTTGCGAGGACCTGCGTTGCATTTTTTCCTGCGTTGCAGTTTTTGGTTTCCTGCTGGTCCGGGTCTGGATGGAACCGGGTCAGAAGATCCCCGAAGTTTGGCGGGGATCTACAGCCCTGCGCCTTGGCGGCGTCGGTGCATGGGGCCGAGGCGGTCACCTGCCCTGTGGGTGCTTGGGCCCCGCGCGGGGCCGTGGCGCCGAGTGGGCGAGGGGGCCTCCGGATGCCGGGGCTCTTAGCTCGGGCCCTCGGGTGGAGTTCGACGGCTGCAGGAGCTTCGGCGTTGCCGTGGCGTGGCGGAGGCCTCGCGGGCGCTGCTGGAAATGCCCCCCGGGCAGAAGGCGTCGGAGGCCCTGTGGCGACTCGGGAGAGGAGAGTGGCCAGGCAAGGAAGACAGTGTGATCTGCGCGGCGACTGGGGGCCCTGCGGCGCAGCGGAAGATCGTGGGTGTTGCCAAAGGAAGGGGGGAGTCTGGCGTAGGGGTGGCTGGTGCGAGGGCCCGAAGTGCCCGCGCCAACCATGCCGACTACGGCGGAGACGTGGCGCGCGCAGGGGGGCCCCGGGAGCGCGCGGCGCGCCCCGGAGTGTGGGGGGCTTGTGATAGACCCGCGAGCGGCCGCGAAGAAGCGGGATGCATCGGGGGGTCCATCGCATCTCCTGCCGAGCGCGCTGGGCCCTTGGCCTCCCCAGGGAGGAGAGGCAAGGTCGCAGGTCTACGGTGCGAATGGACCCTCGCCGACGCCCCGACTCGCAGAGGAAGGGCGCCTCAAGCTGCAGCTGGTCATGGACGCGATGGGCCCCCTCCGGGCGTGCGGGGATTGTGGGCGGAGAATGCGCGGCTGCTGCGAGGTGGCGCGGAGAGGAATCAGCGGGGGGGCCGGGTGGCAGTCGCGGGCGCCGCCGACGCGCTGCGGGGGGCGCTGAAAGCTCACCCCGCCTCTTCCGAGGGCGTCGCTAGAGGTGCCGGCGGCGGCGCTCGCGCAGGCTGGCCCGGGCCGCGCTGCAGAGGCGGGCGGGCTCAGGGGCGCCGGCGCGCGCCGCCGGCGAGCGGGGCGAAGGCGCCGCGGTTGTGATTGCGCGGGGTCCATGCTCCGTGCCGAAGGGGAGGGGCCCTGGCCCCAGGCGAGGGGCAAGCGCCCCCTGATCCCCAGCTGCGATGCCGCAGCCCTGCGCGCGGGTGCGCGGCCCGCAGCTACCGGGAGATGGGCGAGACCGAGCTGGGGTGCTGCTGCAACTCGTGCGTGGGCGGCGGTGTGGGGCCTCGACCTCCTCGGGGGGGCGAGGCGGATGGCGCGCCCAGGAAGGGGATTATTAGTTTTGGGAAGCAGAAGAAGAATGCGAATCATAATAGGAAGAAGAGGAATACTGATGATACAAAGACGAATGTTAATAATCATAAGACAACTGATAATAATATCAATGCGAATAATAATGCAGCGAGAAATTTCAGGAGAAGACGACGCAGACAAAGCATGATCACGATATACGGAGAAGCGAGGGGGCGCGGCTGGGGCGGGGGGGGCGCGGCCCCCCCCCGTAGGGGGCGCGCGTCGTTCAGCGTTTTGTGCGCGCAAAGGGGCATTGCAAGTGGGTGCCGCAGGGCGCGGCTCCGAATGTGTCGGGTGTGAGGCTTGCGCGCCGCCCCGGGCGCGGCGCTCGAGTTGCCCGGGGGGGGGGGGGGGGGGGGGGGCAGGGCGCTCGGGCGAGGCCGCGCCCGCTCCCCCGGGAGGTTGGACTTGCGCGCAAAGGTCGGGGACGCCGCGCCCCTCGATCTGGAAGCGCTGGATGGGGGCCGCCGTTGTCGGCGGCGACGCAGAGGGCCGCGGTCCTTCGGAAGGGGGCGCGGGGGGCAACCCAGGAGGGCGAGTCGCTGGAGAGGGGCGGGCGCTGAGGCGCGAGAAGGCGGCGAGATTGTCGGCCACATCCGTTCGACGGGGGGATGTGCCACCTCGGCCCCTTTGGGGCGGGGCCAGGTCGCGTTCGGGTCGTGCCAGCGACGGCTCGGCAAGGGTGGGGCGGGGGGGCGTAGCCGCAGCGGGCGACGTAGACTGCCGGAGCAGCCCATGGCGATCAGGGGCCAAGAGGGTTAGGGACAGGAGCGCGTGGTGACCAGCCAGGGGCGGGCCCTGGAGGGGG